TGTTATTTGGTTGGTTTTTGGGTTGTTAGGCCGCCGTAAAATATTTTACGAAAAGTACCATTGGATGATGACCGCGAAAGCCTTTCGCATTTCATAATGCCATACTCCCGCGCAAAAACAGTTATCCACAATAAAATGAGATACCGTAGTAACATATATGAGAATTTTTTACAGCTGTTTCCAGATCTACTATATATACTTTGCAAAAGTTGGGCCATCTATGAGATCTAACCTTTTAAAGTATATCTATATATATATATACATATATATATATGAGCAGTAGCCATTGCCATTGCCAACGACCAGTTGGGCAAAAATACAATTAATTGTTAATTGGGAAATTGGCAAACTTTGTAGGCTTTAGTTAACTCTTTTGACGCTAATCTCTAGCTTTCGGCAATTCTTTTAGGAGCTTTCATCAGAAGCTATTTATCCTGTTAATAGAAAGTAATAAAAAAAATTAATACAAATTCACACAACGCTTTTCAAGCGTGTATCACTATCTTACACTCGTACGCTCATATGAACTACACTTTTTTCCAGAACAAATTTAATTCAGCATTTTGGTAATTAGTATGAGGTTTTACCGAGCGTCCCTCGTATACATTATACCTAAATTTGACAATGTTGTTTACAGTTCCACATTCCGTCGCGACAATTACATGTCATCTGTCGACGCATCATCTTTCCGTTCCGTCGTTCTTCTCCAGGTGAAGCGGATGTAGGAGGTTAGAAACGACGTTCCGGTTTTGTCCCCAAAATTTTTTCGGTGGTATTGATTTAGAGTGTTAACACCTAACGATGGTATCCGTCATTATCTATAAGCCCAATGTGTCCGTTCGATTGTTTTTATAATTGTAACAAGTGTTCTAATCTCCGCGTTCGTTTTGAAAGACCATTTGGCTGCAACCTCAACGACGAGTAAGTTGTTTGACAATTTAAATCTTTCCCGGATTGGTTGCTAGCATCATAATTGTGTTTTCAGCTCCTGATGAAGGCTCCATAGAGAAATTGCCGAAAGCTAGTGTAGCGTTTTTCTGGGTTCTTTTGGGTGTGGATTAAAACACTGGATTCCACAAAAAGAAATGCACTAATTTGTTTAACTTGATAAAACGTTTATATACACCACTATTTATGTCTGCAGATGTAGGCAGAGATCGGCATTTAGGCTCTGGTGAGTAGGAGACTCGCCCAACAGATGGCGCTATTCGTCACACTAGAGATTACCGTCAAAAGAGTTAACTAAAGCCTAAAAAGTTAGCCAATTTCCCAATTAACAATTATATATACAGGGTGACTTCGAAGTTGAGTCATTTATTTTAACAGTGAGTAGATCTGATCAAAAGAAATGTTTTTTTCCTTTACCATTTTTCTGGTAAAATTAAAGTAACAAAGTTATAGCCCTTTGGAAGTTTGAGTACCGCCCTGTCTCAATAATAATATTATGTGCTCGTGTTTGGCAACAACGGATATAATCCGCCTTATCGGTTCATCGCATCGGAAACAAAAAAGCGAAAGAATTTGGAACGATGTTTTTACAATTATTTTATTCAGTTGTATACAGTCAGTGTCAGTCGGTGACGCGTGAGTGAATAGTGGTGTCTGTTGCGTGGCTCAAACGAAATAAAAAATGGCACATGTTTATGCGGATCGGTTTCCCAATCGAGTGCAACCAACCCCTCGTGCCTTTGTTAATGTAGTACAACGGGATCGTGAATCAGGTGACTTGAGACCTAACAGGGGGCGGCATGCCGGTGCTCCAAGACCTCACGATCAAATACAGGTCCGCAATGAAATACTTGTCGGGAGGATAATTTATAAAACAAGGTAAAAAATTTTTTTATTTTTTTTTTTATTTTTACACACATATTTTGGTTTATCTTCCTTCTACAATCTTTATCTGAAAATTAATGACTCAACTTTAAAGTCACCCTGTATATATATATATATATATATATATATATAACAAAAAAATAGGAAAATAATGGGCAAAATCCGCAAAAAGGAGGAAAGTGGATTCGAGCAGAAAATAGGATAGGTAACCCGAGCGATACGTATTTCTGCTGGTTGGCTTCATCAGGCCCGAAATGAATGCACATATGCAACTACAAAAGTAGATACACATGCTCATACATCCGGATACGGGTGTAACCTGAGGAAATAAAGATAGATGGGACAAAATTACACACGAAGTCCACAACAAGAGCCAACCTACTCATTGTAGTATAAAATAGCTAGAAGACCTCGAATTTTCAAGGCGACATCTAACCACAACCACGCCGTGTGTAATTTTTTCCCATCTATCTTTATTTCCTCAGGTTACACCCGTATCCGGATGTATGAGCATGTGTATCTACTTTTGTAGTTGCATATGTGCATTCATTTCGGGCCTGATGAAGCCAACCAGCAGAAATACATATCGCTCGGGTTACCTATCCTATTTTCTGCTCGAATCCACTTTCCTCCTTTTTGCGGATTTTGCCCATTATTTTCCTATTTTTTTGTTATATACATTTCTCCCCATGATTATTTTCTATATATACAGGGTGACTTCGAAGTTGAGTCATTTATTTTAACAGTGTGTAGATCTGATCAAAAGAAATGTTTTTTTCCTTTACCATTTTTCTGGTAAAATTAAAGTAACAAAGTTATAGCCCTTTGGAAGTTTGAGTACCGCCCTGTCTCAATAATATCATGTGTTCGTGTTTGGCAACAACGGTTCATCGCATCGGAAACAAAAAAGCGAAAGAATTTGGAACGATGTTTTTACGATTACAATTCAGTTCAGTTATACATACAGTCAGTTTCAGTCGCGTGTGAATAGTGTCTGTTGCGTGGCTCAAACGAAATAAAAAATGGCACATGTTTATGCGGATCGGTTTCCCAATCGAGTGCAACCAACCCCTCGTGCCTTTGTTAATGTAGTACAACGGGCTCGTGAATCAGGTGACTTAAGACCTCACAGGGGACCTCACGATCAAATACAGGTCCGCACTAAAATACTTGTCGGGAGGATACTTTATAAAACAAGGTAAATTTTTTTTTTTATTTTTACACACATATTTTGGTTTATCTTCCTTCTACAATCATTATCTGAAAATTAATGACTCAACTTCAAATATATATATATATATAGTATAAAGAAAAACAGTGCTGACAAATGCTTACAGGTATATAGGATAGTAGAGTATGTCGTTTTATCTTGGATAAGGTTCTGGACGTGGAAAAATAGTGTTCGGTTAAATAGTATCCTACAAATCTGCAACCCACAAACCATGCTAACGAAATGCGGGTTTCAGTAGATCAGGCTATACTGTCATTGCTTCATTACTGCATAGGTGGCGCTAGCGGTATGTGAGATATCTAATCCTGAACAGCTTAATACCTCTACTATTTTTCACGATATCTCGTTACTTTTGAGATACTCGTATTAAGGTGAATTACTGATAAGCAAATGACATATTTGTCTTTACTGTTGATAATAATGAATCGAATGAAATTCAGAACCGTATCCAAAACTGTTTATACCAAACACCGATGAATCGTTTTATTTTAAACGCGATTTTGCAGTCGCAAATATCAGATTCTCAGCTAATGTCAGATCTCAGCCGCATTTCAAAATCCTGTCAATAAGGCCCTTGAGTTTCACCTCCCTTTTCAAAAGGTTAAAAATAATGAAAAATGCGTATAGGTCCAAAAGCTATGGACACCTTCCTTCAAGAACTCTTATTTTAAACCATGATTGTATTTTTCTGATGATTCGATTTACAGTTAAATAGACGTTTCGATTTCCATCATACTGGCTATGTATGAGAGAACCACAAGCAAAAAGCATGTTTAAACCTTTTTGTGAAGAATCTAATAACAGTGGGATACGAATTATTAGATAAAAGGATAAATCTTCTCGGAGGACTCACAACAAGATACGAGGTTAAATACATACAAAAGCAAATCGTGTTAGGGATTTATCATGTGCCGCCCTTATCGCGGCAAACCCCATAAATTGTATAGTTAGTGGCCAGACAATATGTTTGTGCTTTTTTCATGGCCGCCATATATTTCAAGGAGTTAGCCGAAGCTACGGAATACTAAACAGATGACGTACGCAAGTTCTTGAGACAAATTGCCTGGTATAATCAGCGTTCTAGATTACGAGATTGTAAAAAAATCTCGAGAGACACATCGCGGGATTCGGCACGCCATCATGCAGAGAAGAGGATGGTGTACATACTGAGTAGTTTTTTAGTTTGATGAAGGTAAATTTGTCGGTTCTTGGAAGGAATGCACAATTCGATTTAAGGGGAGCGTTTAGGTATTCCTTGCGAATCATTTGTGGTTAAGATCGCTCGACTTTCAATATGTACGACAACACGACATATTAAAAAGTGTATTTCGTGACTTTTCTCGCTGTCTTTGACCAGGTCGTTATTTCTTGTGGGCGCACTTTTTCTAGCATACGCTTTTCTTACTTCTCCCTCTCTCGAACACATTGAAACCCGTCCGACCTCAACCATGAGTGATTCGATAAATGTTACAATCATTTTATTGGCAACTATCTATGAGGAGAGTTATGAAAATGTAGTAAAATGCACCGAAAGCTTTTTATTCTGAATTGAATTATTCTGTTAATAACTTAAATTTTATTTTGAAGTCGTTAATTATGATCGATTGTTCTACCATTTACTATTGTAATATGAACTATTTGTAATTAAAAATTATTGTCTACTTTTCAGTTCGGTTGGCCACAAAAGCGTATTTTTTTAGTTTTTTCAAACTATTATTTATTTTTCATTTTTTAGTTCGAGTTTTTGTGGACTTGTGGTATTGAAATCTCTTACGAATCATTTCGTAATCTAATCATTTCATTTAAAGCTTCAGTGTTGCATGTGGTTTTTCCTGTTAACTTAGAGCAATCAATCCGAATACCGTCTAAAGATCTTACACGACTAAGGGCTAGATAAGCTTGTCCAGCAGTAGCAAGCAGTCGCGAGCCTAAGTAAATGACTGCATGTTCGACTGCACAATCTTGTATCTTGTTGACGGTCGAAGCCCAGCTCAGGATTAATAGCAACATTCGCAATGAACAAGGTGAGAATGCACTACCTTGATAAAATATCTGCCTCCGTTGTACTGTGCCGAGTGCCCAACAACAACAAGGAGCAAGTCCGAAACTGCACGCATACGTAGATCGCGCGCGTGCTCTATCTCTCTTACTCCCCTACAGAGGATCTATAAAGGAATTTATCAATCCTGGCGGTTCTAATAAGGATAATGGAAAACTGTTCTCAAATTATTACATTGTTTCAAATTAATCAAACTTCTGGAAATTAGTGAACATTATCCTTAAAGATTCCATTACATACATACGTACGTACATACACACATACATTCAGGCCAAGCTTATAAAAAAGCGTGTTAAAAGGCCACCGAAAGATCGTACAGTAAAGAATAATTAAAACATATGTGGTTCAATTTAGGTTAGATGATCTAACTTTGATCAAGAGTTCAAGATAGGAAGAATTCCTGGCATACAAAATAACTAAGATCAGCATATGCGATGGTAGTAATTTTTGGTAGACAAAAGACTTAACTGTCTGTGAATGTTGGGAATGCTGGGATATCCAAAGTCAGCGCGCGATCAAATGCCTGGGCGTGTAGATGAACAAAGACGCAAAGATGATTGATCATATAAGGCGCATCGTCGATAAAGCAAATAGAGTTGTTGCTTCTTCGAAGATATCTAATGCTAACTGATGGCGGGCACAGTATTGAAAAACGACGGATTCTGGCTGGGGTGTCAAGCTCTATCATATTGACTGGGGCTCTCATCTATGAAAATACACTTATGCTCAAATACCAGCGCCAGCGGAAGACGGTACTGCGCGTGATCTGCGCTAACGGTGTCGGCAGAGGCGCTGCTGGTGGTCGCTGGAGTCCCGCCAATTGATTTGCTAGTTAAAAAAAGATGTTCCTTATACAGGGTGCGGCAGAGAGGACGGACTTTTATGGGATGAGTAGTACTCTCCGCCTCCGTCTACGAGAGAAGTGGGGAGGGTGCCGTTTGACTCGTGAGATCCTAGCATTATTTTACCAGTTGTCGTTATGGAGCCTTGGACGGTGGAGCACCGCGTTTTCGCCTATGACTGTTTCGTCCGAAATAATGAGTCAGTCATCGTCGTACAGCGTGAGTTTCGTCGCCACTTCAACATTCATCGGAATAGAGCTGTTCCCTCTCGAAACACCATCTTTCGTCGGGTTGAATCACTTCGCAGGCGTGGTGAACTGATCAACAGAAGACCAAGAGGAGCGCCGCGAACAGTTCGAACTCCTGAAAATGTTGAACGCGTTCGACAGGTCTTTCTTCGCAGTCCGACTCGATCTGCCCGGAAACATGCTGCTGCACTTCGCCTTAGTGATCGTTCGGTAGAACGAATTTTGCATATGGATCTCCGCTTTCACCCCTACAAACTGGCCATTGTGCAACAGTTGCAGCCCGGAGATTATGCACAACGAATGAACTTCGCACGTGAGATGGAAGCACTGATCGATCAAAATGAGAACCTCATTTTGTTTATGAGTGACGAAGTCCACTTTCACCTAAACAGCATGGTTAACCAGCAGAATTGTCGTTATTGGACTAATGAAAATCCGCAACAGTTAAACGAAAGACCGCTGCACAGCCCAAAAGTAACGGTTCTGTGCGCTGTATCGCAAAGTTAAGGTTATGCTTTCCAGTAATTGGCATTCATCTGCTACATGTTATTAATATTTGCTTGGAAACTAGGTACTTTCCCGACCTTTGGAAGACAGCTCTGGTGACTCCTCTGCCGAAATTGTCTAATCCGATATCCATCGCTGATCTCAGACCAATAAGCATATTGCCAATAATGTCTAAAATTTTAGAACGAGTAACTTATACACAGATTCTAGATTATCTCAATGCACATAATATAATCCCCACCCATCAATCAAGCTTTCAGAAAAACCGCAGTACAACTACAACCTTGTCTTATCTCATTGATAGCATCATATCTTCCATCGACAGTAAAAACATGAGCTTGCTGGTACTGTTAGACTTTTCCAAGGCCTTCGATACGCTTAACCATCGACTACTTGTTGCTAAGTGTCACTACTATGGCTTCGATGAAGTTGCCTGCAACTTTATTAGGTCATATTCAAGGGAGCGTAGGCAAAAAGTAAATATCAGTAATCAAATTTCGACATCAAGGTACATTCAGACAGGTGTTCCACAAGGCTCAGTACTGGGACCATTGATGTTTTTATTTTACACTGCAGATTTACATGATAACTTCAAGAATACACATGCTCAATTTTTTGCTGATGATACGCAGATGAAGTGTGATTTTAATGCCGACAATGTCCAGGAGTCCATGATGCTAGTAAATGCGGATCTCGATAGTGTTAGTAGGTACTGCAGCTCTCACAACTTGAGACTAAATCCCTCAAAATGTTCTGCCGTATTATTTGGCAATAAAAGATTATGTGAAAACCTTAAACCATTAATTCACATCAAAGTTAATGGGGAGAGAATTATTGTTTCTGAAATAGTAAAAAAAATTGAGCATTCACTTTGACTCGGACTTAAGTTTAAACTCCCATCTGAATAATGTCTTGAAAAATTGTTATCTATCCATCAGGCTTCTATTTGCAAACAAACATATTCTGCATAGAAACATCAAAATTAAATTGTGTCAAAGTTTAGTTATTTCTAAAATGTTATTATGGCTTATCCATATATTACCCATGTTTGACGTCTATTAACGCAAAACGTTTGCAGATAATGCAGAATACCTGTGTACGGTTTCTCGAAGGCCTAAGAAAGTTCGATAATGTATCACACTTGTATCGTAATCTTGCATGGCTAAGCGTTCAAAACCTTTTCAAATACTCCATTCTCAGCTTTACTCACAGGATCATGAATGAATGAATGAATCTTGAATTTTAGAGGCATCCCGGCCACCATAAGGAGCCAGTGCATAGGCCGCTTAAGCGGGCCCTTATGCACCTCTACAATACTTAAATCACAAGCCTCGCCCTTTTAGCGAAGTTGAGAATCGCCTTGAGTCCAAGCTCCTTTACGTCCTGAGGGTCCAAAGTAATGGACCCCAGTATAGTCTGCCTATAGTAGCTCAGAGCTTCACAGCGACACAAAACGTGCGCCGAGGTCTCTTCCTCTACTCCGCAGCGTTCGCATAAGGGATCCTCAGCCACCCCCATCACGTGCAGGTGCCGCCTTAACGTGTTATGGCCAGACAACAGTCCCACCAGCAACCTTAGGTTGGCTCTACCCAGAGATAGGCAGAAGCGTCCATCCTTAGCACTGGGCCCTTCAATGAGCTCTCGTGCCTGGCGGAGATGTCTAGAGATACTTCTCCATTTCTGAGAGTGTTGTCTTGCAACCCACGTCTCCATTTTCCTCCTAGCTTTATGCGCGGTTACTCCTAGAGCTGGCTCAGGACCAACGAGCTTGCTGGCTGATCCTGTTTTCGCCAGAGTGTCCGCCGTCTCATTACCCCTTATCCCAGCGTGCCCCGGTACCCATATTAACGATACCGGATGCCTCGCTGCGAGGCAATCCAGAGCCTCCCTGCATTGCAATACAAGACTCGAAGTAATCTTACATGCACTTAGTGCTTTCATTGCAGCCTGGCTGTCGGATAAGATTGTTATTCTTCTCCTAGGCCCACCCTCCTCCAGAATGTGAGATACACAAGCCAGAATCGCAAAGATTTCCGCCTGGAAAATGGTGGTGTACTCACCGAGAGGCAGAGATAGCCTAGTTCTAGGTCCAGAGACCCCAGCACCTGAGCCCTCTTCGGTGACCGAGCCGTCCGTGTACCAGACCTGCCCGCTCACTTCGGAGAGTCCTCGGCTACCGGCGTCCCACTCCTCCCTCGTTGGGTACTCCACAATGAACTTGCGGTTGAAGCGATATTTAGGGGTAATACGATCACCCCTGCTTAGAAGGACGGGGTCCTCCCTATCTAATTCGACTAGGATCATACTAACATCATCCCCTCAATACCTCAGCTGTAAACTTGTTCCAAGGGCGTGTGTGCATAATCTTCAGGTTCGTAACCGTGACACCTTAACTATGCAAATACACCGCACAATACTTTTTAGACGAACTTTCACATACAATGCAATTTTATATTACAATAGCTTAAGCCAGGATCTGAAGACTATCCAGTCTTCCCGGAGTTTTAAAACTCAGTTAAAAAGATATTTACAAGAATTGCAAAACAACCGCTGGCTTAAGAAGTTCTTTCATTTTCATACTTTTTTTTATTTTTCATTAGTTATTTTTCCGTTTCTTCATAACCTCTTCTTATTTTATAGCTAAATTGGCATAAATAGTCCTATTATACTGTGACTTAATCTTTGTAGTTTCACATTTTTTTTGTTTGTTTTTGTATAACTTGTTTTTTTTCACTTTTGTACGGGGTTAGATGGTGGAATAGCAGGTGCTAAATCTCGCCCCATGTAACGTACCATGTTTTGGTCAATAAAGATGATGATTATTATTATTATTATTATTACACTTGCATCATTGGCCCTTACTTCTTCGAAGACGGTAATGGTCGTGATGTGATTTTCCACACTTGACTGTCTCAAATGCTATTTCCTTGTGAACTTGATTCCATCAATAAATTTGTTTTCGAGTAAAAATTAACTATTTTATGATTTTTTTAAAACCGTCCATCCTCTCTGCCGCACCCTGTATAAATAGGGTGCGTAAACTATAAATGATGAGAGGCACACGGGACACTACTAAATAGGAAGCATGGTCTTTAGAACACATTGTAGATATTAAAGACTGGATTGACAGGGGAGCTATCCACATAGGTTACTATAGTTCCTTACGTAAATAGATGCTTTTGAAGCGGAGCACGGATGGGAAAAAGAATATGCAAAGCAGTGGCGAAGCGTCCATATAACCATTGTTACCACTGATAACAATTAAAAATCTTAAAAATAAATATTTTATGACTAAGTACTGTGAAATAATTTCATTTATTTGTTTACCAACAGCGATATTATTCAGTAAATAGAAAATTAGCCCCACGAAAATAATGCGCCCTATAGTGTCTAGGTTTTGCGAACACGATGAAGCTGACTCGCCTCGACTTGGTTGTCGGTTTTTACCATTTTCATTTATGGATACACTTGGTAGTCTGTCGGGGACCGTCGGAACCGGCTCGTGTCTGATCGCGGTCCCCCTTATCCGTGGGGCGCTGCGACTATAATAATAATAATAATAATAATAATAATAATAATAATAATAATAATAATAATAATAAATAATAAATGGCCTTTATTCGTCACACGATTACAAAATAATTGGTTTAAATAATTGGTTTAAAAGGAACAGTGACGAAAAGGTGGAGTGTCAGCTTATGCTGTTTTTCAACCCGACCTGGAAAACATTGACACAAGCTATAGAGAGAGAGAAAAAAAACTTAGAATATAACACTTATCAGAGAAAGGAAACAATCAATTACCTGTGGATATGCATAAAGTAAAATTTTAGCCATCCGACTGCTTTAAACTCATCTTTAACCTTTTTTTAAAATTGCTTAGGCTATATTCTTTATACTCACTTGATAAGCAGTTATATAGTTTGGGTGCCCAGTACGAGAAACTGCCTGTGAACAATGCTGTCGAATGCCGCGGGATAAGTAAGATGAGTTTATTCCTAGAGGATCTTTGATCGTACTGGCAGAGGAGGCTTAGTTTTGTATAAAGATAATATGGCGCTTTAAGGATAAGGGTCTTATGTACCAGAGATAGGCAATGCAGTTTCCTCAATTTGTTCATCTTAAACCATCCCGATTGGTCAAAAGCGCTACTAATATGATCAAATTTACGGATTCCATAAGAAAATCTGATGCATGAGTTTTGTATCATCTGAATCCGCTCGGCATCACGTTGTAAAAGAGCAGGTCCATAAACAGAGTCACCGTAAGATAATTTTGACAGGATAAGGGACTCGCAGAGTTTAACCTTGAGCTGTGTCGACAGGACACTTCGACTCGGGTATAACTGACGAAGCACATTATAGGACGCATTGCATAGTTAACATGTTTAGTGAAGCGTAGCTTGCAGTCAAACCAGATACCAAGGTTTTTGCATTCGTTTACGAAGGATATGTCTTCATTATTCACCATAATATTAATGCGATATTGATTTATTTCACGATTCTTTTTGGGCCCAAATAAAATGCAGCATGATTTGCCAGGATTTAGTTTTAGATTGTGAGCACTAGATATGTCAAAAATAGACTGCAGGTCTTGATTTATTTGATGTTGGCCAAGCATATATTCATCAGGATCGAAGCAGTTATAAAGTTGGGTATCATCGGCGTAATGATGAACGATTGAGTTGCTGGCGGTTTCATGAAAATCACATATATAAAGAGCAAATAAAAGGGGACTCACAATAGATCCTTGAGGGACACCAAAATTTCTGAATAAAGAAGTTGATATATTGTTTTCATATATGACAGACTGTGAGCGATCAGTTATGTGGGCTTGTTATCATTTTTTGATTCGGTTACACACTTCTCACTCGTTAGTAGCCGTTTTGGTTACCGGTTGTAATATGCGTGCAATTAAACATGGATGAGTGTCGCTGCGTAATCGATCAACTACTTGAAAAGTCATTCTCCTTGTATAATTTTTAAGAAAAAAAGGAGATCATTGAAAATGGAAGACCAACGTCTATCTTAGATAATTTTAAAAAGGAATAAAAAAACGTAGTTTGATATTTTAAATTAAGTTGGTATTTGGAAACTCTTGTTTATGTGGTTGTAAAAAAACAGATTGTATTGTTGTCGATGTCTTCTGTTTTATACAGAATAAAATGCAGTGGAGTCAACGATTTAAATAGTTTTAGAGCTCTAAAGAGGAGACATGAAATTTATCCGTTACATGTGAGATGTGTAGCCAATCTAATTCAGTTTGGCAAAACAAGAATCGAAAGTTGTCTTAACCAACCTTTTAGGCAGCACACAGAAAGATACCGTAACTATGTTTTTTGGCAAAACAGGAATTACCGTTCATTTTGAAGGGGATGAATCTGAAAATAGAGGAAATTACAGGGAATTGTTAACATTCATTGCCAAAAAAGATCAAAAATGTTCCGAACATCTAGAAGCGTCGACTGTTTTTTCGGACGGCTTGGATTAGTCATAGCATAAGACGATGAGGTATATCAAGTACCCCAGACGCTCAGTTCTTAATCTAAAAATAGTTTAAATAAAATACCTAAAATAAGCAAAAACTTTATATTTGGGAGGTTCAAAATAAACTTTTTTTAATAAGATTGTTCACATCTGATTTTGGTAACAGTTTAGGAAAAGTCACGAGTCGCCACTGATGCAAAGTTAATATCTTCGATACGAATCTTTCCGCGACCCTACCTATCGCGACAAAATGCCTCTTGTGCACCTCTGTGGTGAAATCTATAGCAAATGACCAATGAGTTTTGGTGAGTAAGCCATATTTTGAAGAAACTCACAATGCGCGCAGGAAATCTTAACAGAAGGTCAAAAAACGTGTCATGTAGGATATTTTGATTGTTACGGAGTCTGAAAAAGGATAGTAGGATTCTAGATACTAATAGGTCTGACACGAGACTCCACATTTAACTCGATAGATTTTCATATACGCACATGCAATTTCTGTATATTTCTTTAGTCTATTTGCTTGGTGAGTTCTTGCAAATACAAACGTTTTATCAAAAAACATATTTATTTAATGTGCGGATTCGGTTTTCGTCTGTCGAGAGTGATAAAAGTAGGGCATAACAAGTACATAAAAATCAAAACGGCCGTTTTCATCCCAATAACCGTGCATTTAACCTAATGCTTTGCGGTTCTTATCTCCGATTTATAGCGTATTTGTGTTTATAGCATATCGATCGAGTTTCGCGTTTTATGAGCGTAATGGTGATAGATTTTTCATACCCTTCCGTCTGCCCATTTCTATATTTATATCACTTCGGGAAATTGTTCGCAATTTTTATTGCCGTGTTTATTTTCGCTGCATTTAGTCTGACTAGAAATGTGATCGAAATTATCCTCGTTATATCAAATGCGTAGGTACAGTCGTACTGAGAAGTATGATCCTTCTTAGTCAAATGATACAATAATGTCTAGGTATATTAGACATGTATATCGTCGTCCATACCGCAGACAGGCGTATCTGACAAAAAATCAAATTCGAGTTAACGGATTCAAATCAACAAGGTATAGCATATCTTCAATCCCGCAAAGTGGCGTAAGGCTAAGTAGTTCGCTCATAGAGATATCAGCATAAAACTAAACGTCGTATCTCTCAGAAATGAAATACAATACACCGCAAATAGGCGTAAATGAAGATACGCCTACATGCGGTGTCCATTTTTTGCTACTCTCTCAGTGGTAACTAAGATATGTCCTTTTGACTTACAGAATACATTTTGTCCGAATTGAGTCACACCTCATCTGAAAGCGATCCCTTTGCTGCAGCCGAGATTTATAATCCGGAAGATCCGGACTATCATCAAACTTGTGAAGTTAAAAGCTGTAAAGGAGATGTGTTCAGTTCCTGCTTTCAATACTCAATTTTGTTATGTTGGAAGCATTTTGAAGATGATACCCTATCCTGCCAGGACGGACACAGGACAGTACAGAGCAGTGTACTTAGCAAAGAGAAACAGGAAGAGAGGCGCCCTGAAGATTTTTTTGTAGAAGGTTCCCAGGCAGAAGGTGATAGGAAAAAAAAGTCAAAGAACATAAAAGAAGAATTGCAAAAACGTTGAGGAATCAAGGCGAAACATATATTTCGCCTGTAACTAAGAAAATTGTGAAGGAGAAAGCGCTTTTGTATTATCTGAAAACCCAAAACATAGAACTACAAATAGCAATGCTCCACGCCGTTAGCAAACACATTATTTTTTCTTACCTCTAGAAGGTATCCGACAATTAGTTTGTTAAAAAATGTTCCTTGGGACCCTTGGGATAAGTGAGAAAGTTTGCAGAACCGCAATAAAGAAATTGAATAGAATAACGAGTGTGCTAGAAAAAGAAAATCGTGGAGGTCGACGGGAGTTACAATCATCAAGAGACATAGTCATTAGAAAAAGTATTATAGAGCACATAAATAGGTTCCCCAGAGTAGAGTCACATTACTGCCGGAAGTCCTCAACTAAACAATACCTACATGAAGATTTATCTCTGAGTACAATGTATCACATGTACAAACTGGAAGATCAACAAACAAAGGGAAGTGTTTCTTTGTATAGAAAAATTTTCAGATCCATGAACTTCTCATTTCACAAACCAAAAAAAGATCAATGTGGTCTTTGCAAGTGTTACAGAGAAGGATCGGAAGAAGTAAAGGCTAATTTGGAAAAGGAGTACTTGGCCCATATTTTAGAAAAGGAAACGGTAAGAGAAATAAAGAATAGCTGCAAAGAAAAAGCTAAAAATGATACAAAGGTGCTACGTCTGATCTCCAACAAGTTATATACTTAAAAATTTCTAATCATTGTTCCGTATTTTATAAAACACGGCTTGCTGTCTACAATCTAACTATCTATGAAGTAGCATCTCGAGAATGTTTTTGTTATACATGGAGTGAGACTGAAAGTAAACGTGGTAGCTCGGAAATATCGACTGCTGTTTATTTATTTATTTCCGAAAAACACAAACAAGGCTACAATACTGTTGACTTATTTGCTGATGGTTGTAGTGGCCAAAATAAGAATTCGATAATGGCTACCACTCTTTTATATCTTGTCAGTAATTGCTCAAACGTTAAAGAGATATCGTTAAAAATTTTTGCCTCTTGTCATGGACAAAATGAAGGCGATTCAGCACATAGTGCAATAGTTACGCTTTGAAAAATGCAGGTGAAATTATTGTGCCGAGCCAGTTATTGCCAGTCTATGCATTAGCAAGGAAGAAACAGCCATATAAGGTTCGTCCCTTAGACTATCGTAATTTTTTTGACCCCAAAAAACTCGCATCAGACTTAAGAGTATTATCTATTCGAAAAGATGATAAAGACATGGATGTGAATTGGAAAAACATGATGGAATTCAATGTGACAAGTGATAATTGCAACAAAATCTATTTCAAGACTAGCCATAAGCAAACAAACTACAGGTCCATAACCTTGAAAAGAAATGTTTCCGATATTTTAAAAAAAAGAGCTGTCTCCTCTGAACAGCGACCTATGAAAAATCACAAATAAAAAATATAATGATTTGACCTCACTTTGCCAAGGCGATAGGCCTGCCATCACTCTACCAGAACATCAACATTTTTATGATTCACTACCTCATGAGGACCAGCCATAAATGTTTTTGTATGAAATCATCTTCTTATTTTTGTTCTGTATTATCCTTGAGTTGCTTGAGTATTACCTACATCTGAGAATAAGGTGTTTTTTTATTTAATCTAATTTTATTCCATATGGAGTGAAAGTCGTATCTTCAAACCGCTAGACTATTGTAATTGTCAAGGTTACCGCAAAGAGGCGTATCTGGAAAAAAAAAATATAAAAAAATGTTTAGCTGAGAATATGAATTTCCTTTCCTCTATATACTTCTCAGAAGATGATGAACACACTGTTTAGCTATGTTATTGGAAGAAATTATGCTCATATTGTCTAAAGTAGTAAAGATATAAGAAATCAAATAACTGTCGATATTCATTTCGCTTCTACTGAAAATTTATATAAAATCAGTTACGCCTGTTTGCGGTACGGACGACGATATGTTACCGGTAATCTTTACAACTCAGGTATTCTATACAAAACCTAGGCAATGTATATAGGGTGTTTCACAACTTATCCGACAAATTGATTTCTCAAAAAAAAAATGTAATAAACGTAATACAAGTCTTAAACCTGAGTTAAAAATAAATATCTGTATTTTGCGTTCATCGTCGTGATATTAGAACACGCATTAATAATTTATTGTAGCAAATGTTGTACCAAACAACTGAGGAAAACAAAATATCAGGAATTTTTTGTGTTTTCATACTGATAAGAACGTGTAAATAAGATTTAATCTGTATCGTGGGTGATCTGAATGATGAACGGTCGATTTTTGTGAAGTTAAATAAGGAAGTATTTTGCGAGTCTATGTTGTTGGTTATTTATTAATAAAAATAGCACATGTGTTTTTCTTTAAATGTGTGGGCAGGTATTGTCGATGAACGTCTCTAATTGGACCGTTCATATTGCCAGATCATATGGATGGTCGCCAGTATTTGGAATTTCTTCGGAATTATTTGCCGGTCCTTCTTGAAAATGTGCCATTTGCGGTCTGGGCAGGGATGTGGTTTCGGCATGATGGGGCCCTCCGCATTTCGGTTTATGAGTTCTTGATTGTTTAAATCAGGTATACCAGATACGCTGGATCGGAAGGGATGGACCAATTGCATGACCTTCACGGTCTCCCGGTCTAAGTCCTCCTTTTATGGGGATACTTGAAAAACGAGGTATACCGTACTCCAGTTCAGAATATTGAAGAATTGCGTGCCCGAATCACAGTGGCTGCCGATAATTTGAGCCTTCAGGCGCAGCAGGAAGGAAATGCCGAAAACGATTTTTAAAATGGCTTGGATATTACCAGACATTTTACCAAAAAAGGGCTGAAACCAAAAATAAAGCTAAAAAATAGAATTCCATGTAGTCTATGTAGATTTACGCGCCATACCAGTCATACATACGCGTACACTTAGGCAGTTGGACACACGAGGGACTTCGTAGATTTGGATTGCCTACAATTATGTAGACACATGCCTTATTTCGATTTCTCTATATTGGTTTTGGTGATGAGGCTTCAAGTTCAGGGGTGAAACAGAAAAGTATTCAGAATTGTATAAACAAGAATGGCAAAAAGGAGTTTGAATTATGATTGCAAAGGCGTCTGAACAATGATCAGTATGTTCGTTGTTGTAATAAAGAACTTAAGATTTCTTCAGGAACTGATGCCCATCATGTTTATGCTGATGTTTGATTCCCAGGAGCCAAATGTTTGTGGCAGACTGAGAAAAAATGAATTAAATCAACTCCAATTTCTAAAACGAATCTATTTAAATGTATTAAACCGTTTACTTAGACTGAGTACACCAATTTATTTAAAATTAATGAACTATCATAATGAGTTTACCTGCTCCAAGCGAAACAATTTAATCATATTTATTGAATTTGTTCAATTAGCCTAGGCAAACGTTCCTTACTTTTAATGAATTATTTTATTTAGACTTAAATGTATATTTGGATAATATTTGGAATCCAAATGAACAAATTGCATTTTACTGAATGATGCATATTATAACTGTGCTCTGACATATCTAAGATCTCAAAAAAACTGATAATTGATATTTTGAAATGAAAATAAGAAATAAGTTTTGTAACCTTAACAAAATTCGATATTTTTTATTTTCTTTGATTGTGAACTTATTATATTTATATGGGATCATGTTTCACCAATTATTTTCCTGATTGGAAACAGGTTATAATATTCATATCACCATTCACACAATTATCTGTTCTAAATTCAGAAAGTGGATATTGGGATACCTGAAACTGAATAAGGCTGCTTCATCATTTGTTCAAAAATTGTACTTTTATTTCAAATACATACACTTGTATGTATGTAGCAGACAGAGAAACTTGTTGTTAGTTTCTCTGTCTGCTTTTCCAGTCTCCGTCTCCTCAAGCCTCAAGCATTAGTCCCAGTCATCTCTGGCAGTCAACCCATCGACTGCATTCCAAAACATTGTGGCAGTTTGCGTATTCCCTGTTTCCTATTCGCCTTAGGTAGCTTCCAAAGCAACTCTGTCCCGTAAGGGTATAACAGCTCAATCCATCTACACATGTCCCCTGTCAATCCAGACGGGAGACGATTGGTTGCCAAACCAATTTAAACAATATACGCGCAATATCATTTGCTCGTTTTCACAAAACAGGATCGTACTTGAAGTTACCAATAAAAAAATGCATCCAATCGTAGCTCTGCATGAAAGTGTACTAATGGCACTGGTCTATGCAAGATATCGTGTGGTGAATTAAAAGCTATAGAGCGAAACCGACTAAGATTAATTGATTGATTGTTAGAACTCCATTACACCTGTACAGTAAATTAATAGTGGTAGGTGAAACTGATTGATTTTCCCTGAGCTTTAGGGTGAGTTTACCGGGTTTACAGATAATAAGCTGGAAACTGAGAAGAGTAAACGGTAGAATAACTGAAACTAGAACATGATAAAGTCTCAATTAGGAAAATGATAGCAAGGATGATCTCTTCCAATCGTGAATAGATGTCAGTTTAGGTATTCCTGCATAGAAATAAGAATAGAATGCTACATACCTAGATTGATAAATACAACAAGCCACTTGTCCTGAGGCGTATAGCGCAAACCTAAAGAACAAAACCGATCAACATAAATTGATTGATTTTTATCGCTCCATTACATCTTTACAGTAAGTAGTAGTTGGTGAGACTAGAATAAGCGACAGAGTAATGGATACTAGAACTTAATGACGTCTCAATTTTCAAATTCATAGCAAAGATTACATCTTCCACCGGTATATAGATGACAATTTAGGTACTCCTGTGAGGAAAAAAGAATAGTTCATTACATACCTAGGTGTGCCTTCATTGATTGAGCGCATATAATATCCGAGGTCAAACGAAGTACAAACTCAAATGAATTAAATAGAATCTTTATGTTATAGTGGTAAAGAAAACATCGTTTTTAATGTCAAAAGACTAATTTATTACTCTACACTAATTCATAACGC